TATAGGAAAATATCACATCATTATTCATTTGGAAAAAAAATCTGGGGGAAAAAAAAGGTCACTAGCCTGGGGCTAAATTTGACCACACGGACCAGTGACCTGAAGATATGAGGTACTGTGTTATATTGAAATCAAAGGTCTATAGCTAGGTTGAAATTCAGAAGAATTATGCAACTCAGTTAACACTCTACAGGCAAATCTATAGTATAGTCACAAGGGTTTAAAATATGTGAAACCTAATACAGGGACTATAAACTAAAATCTTGTACTGCTGAGGCACAGTTGTGGTTGTTTCGTGTTGTGTTAAATGCAACTCATCTTAACAAATCTTAGCTTGGCAAAATACAGCTCTAATTCTGCATCGCCTGGTTTTATAAGACTGGGTTTTTTGGTATTGGTTTTTCGCGTGAGCTCTACAGAGATGTTGGTAAGCTCCAGGAGCATTTAATAACAAGTTTTGTTTGGAAATGGTAGTGGGGTTACTAGAACACTGTTTGAAGTCAGCATTTATTAAACAGACATAACCTTGTAGCTGCTTGCAAGCCAAAATTGTAGAGTTGTTTTTTGGTTTGGAGTCGTGAGGTTTTTCCACCCCCATAAGTTGATAGAGATGGGAATCCTTTGCAAAATGAGTGTATTTCTTGAAATTTAGTCCTCTTAAAACTTTGGCTTTGGGCTGTTAAGAATTATAGTGTGTGCTGAATTTTCATGTGTTCTGGTGTAATTATTCATAACTTTTTCCCTCTGGTATTGAAATAATTAATCTCTGCAGGTAGACATCATCAAAAGAATATTAGCTCAGAATGATTAACTGTAAAGCTTACTTTGCTCTACTGTTCAGGGCCACTGTGAAAAATTATTCATTTTTAACTTTGTAAATAGGCAATAATAGGAAAATTTATTTTCAAAATGTTTTATGGAAATGTTGAATGTTCCTGTCTGCATCGAGACTTCTAATAGGCATAAATCATGTTGAAGGAAATTTTTAAGCATTCTAGCTGCTGATTGTGGAATAATATGATTTACTGTGTGCATTTGCTCTCTATTTGTTTAATTGGATTCTGTAGATATCTTACTTGTTTCTTGTCATAGTGGTTCTTTTTCACTACATTGAATTCCCACAGAGATTATTATCCTCAGACTGTCACTAACACTCATACAATTTTTTTCATAGCAGTTCCTAATATTTTATCTTGTCTAAAGTAAGACACTCAGCATGATCCAACAATTTACTGCATAACTTCAGGATCTTTCTGTAAGAGATCCTAAAGGTGGAGAGAAACAAAAATCCTCTTCAGGGTATTCTCTGGAGCAGGCACGTCTCATGGGAGGGAGGCAAGTGGGGCTACAGGGCATAGTTCAAGCAACTCTTTCTGGAACCATTTTTGGGTCCTTCTGAAAGGCAGCAAAGCAAAGGAGTTGGGAAGCACTCTGTAGACGTATTTCCAGCTCTCCCACCTCCCAGAAGACTTGAATCTTGGTGGTGGAAGATTTTTCAGAGAATGAGCTGAGCTGGAAAGCTTGGGAAAATGGATGCTGTGCAGAATCTCCGTGCTACAGGTTGACGTAGCAATGATGTGTGGTGGTTTGAGCTCTAGATAAGTCTTTACTGTCTACAGAGTTTATGTGTCTTCTAAAGAATGAATTTGATCACTGGATTGAAAAATGATGTGTATTATAGTATATAATAGAAAACCATCTCGATGTTCTGCTTTTTACTAATGCCAAAAATCTGATTATCTAGTTTGTACTGCTCGCACACACATCTATTCAATGGCATACCCATTTTATGTGTGTGCAAGATCGTAGAGTCATAGAATGGCCTAGGCTGGAAGGGACCTTAGAGATCATTTAATCCAGCCTCCCTGCCACCAGGGACACCACCTCTCGACTAGATCAGGCAACACATGGGGACCAAACGGGAATCGAACCCGTGACCTTAGCGTTGTTAGCGCTACGCTCTACAGACTGAGATCAAACTCAGTCCTTCAGCCTGCTCTTTTAGCTTTTAGATATATGTTTTATATACCTCCATAATATTTGATAGAATAACCTGCCTTTTGTCCTCATCTTAACCATCTTTCTTCCTAGGCATACGGTTCCTTACTGTGCTCTTCGTAAAACAAGTAATCTTTATTTAAACAAGAACAGTGGGATTATTCGTATCGATAAATAGCAGTATATATATACACTGTATGTATAGTCACATTTTATAAGGTGATACGAGTGCCTCTTTATTATTCCAGCAATAAAGTGAACGGTGGCAGCAGTCTGTCACAAAGACTTCGCAAACTGTGGGTAAAAGCAATATTGCTGGCTAACGGTAAATCATGGCAATGTTGAAATCTCAGTGTAAAAACGTAGCGTGGCTTTGAATCCTGGAGGCCTCTCTCAAATGATTACAAGTGGAGTTTCAGACATTTAATGAAGAGCTCATCTATCTTTTGTCCACAGGCTGCGATAATCGCTAATGTGAGATCTTGGGTAGGCTGGAAAGTTGAGTGAAGTGAGCGAATTTTCTCCTAACTTTCAGAAAGAGGGAGTGGCAAGGGATTTTTTTTTCAGTGTCTTTTCTAATGTCTTTGTAGTGTGTAAGAGAAAATGCAGATGAGATAGAAACCTGCGTGATAGGCTCATGAAGGTCTGCACATCTGCAGTCATCTCTTTTGGATGTGATGCCAAGACTTCCAGCTTTTGACTTTTCCTGTAAGAGCATGCAACTGCAGTTGCAGTGTTTACCGCTATTTCGTTTCTCCAGCCGTCTCCTTTGTTACCACTTCACCATATTCTTTGCTCATCTCCTCACTCAGGCCTTTGCACTCGAGCTCGGCCCTTGCCTTTTGTGCTACCCACCAGCCGGGATTAATTGGTTAATGTTTTATTTAGCGTTGTACTGGAAGTCGGGGCTGAGGGGTCATTGTGAGGAGGCACAGGGCCCAGCGTGGCCCCTCAGCTGGGCCGGTGGCGCCTCAAGGAGAGCGAGTAACAAGAGGGGAAAATGGTGGTGGCAGCGAGCGGTGAGGAGAAGATGACGTGGGGAGGCGTCAGGAGCGAAGCCAAGGCTTGGGAAAAGGGGCCGGATAGGGGAAGGAGCTGTTTTAGAATCATAGAATCCTAGACTGGCCTAGGCTGGAAGGGACCTTAGAAATCATTTAATCCAACCTCCCTGTCATGGGCAGGGACGTCACCTCTTGACTAGACCAGGCAACACATGGGGACCAAGCGGGTTTTGCCTTCGTTGGCCACCACCCAAATGTATTTTTAATTGGCGGTACATTAAATTAATTTTCCCCAAATGGAATCTGCTGTGCCTATGCAGCAACGGGCGAGCAGTCTCCCTGTCTCGACCCTCGAGTATGGTTGTCTGATTTTCCTCCCCTGTGTTGTTGAGGGGAACGAGAGGACACCTGGATGGGGGTCTATGGCTGACCAAGGGCAGCCCACCATTCGTAGGGGGGCAAAAACCCATCCTTGAAATATTCCAAACTGATTTTCAGGTTGTTTTGATATCCCATCCCCTCACAAAACACATGAGGAAGCTCTTTCTCCCTTCCACGTGCACTTTGTCATTAACCAGGAACTTTTCCTCCTTGGTGTGTGACTCTGATTTTGCACCATCAGGCAAGGTAATTACCTCGCAATTAGCAGGGACGAGAGAGCAGGCAGCTTCCTACACCCACGTGGCACTTCTGCTGTCTGTGCCAATAGTAAGCAAGTCAGGTTTGTAGTAAAGCATAAACATACATAGTTATCGTCGCATAAGTGTAGATAGTGTGAATACGTATTGTTAAGCCCCATCAGTTTTATCATAGAAAAAGGACTTTGAATTAGTGTTTTATTTCAATTACTTGGTATTCTCAGCGCTGAAAATATTCTTCGGAGAGCTCTGACAGCCCCTAAACTCTTAAAGTAATCAGTAGCTTTATAAATAAGACCAGGAACTGTGACTTTAGGAGGAAACGGTCACGATTATTTGTTTACTTTGTGTTGTGAGCTACATAATATGAAAAGGAAATAGCATCCTCATTTGCAACAGATATTTGAATGACTCTTTGTTCTTTGTTACCTTTTCTTTTTACAGCATTTTAAACCTTTTTAGACCCTATCGGTTTCAAGATGTACAACAACTCAATGTAAAATTTGGAGGAAAGAAGAGGGGTCTGTGAATTCAAAGGGCCAAAAATTTGCATGTGGTGAGAACAGCTTCAGGAAGCATGGCTAGGAGCAATGACTATGTTAATTCTGGAACTCTTTGTTCATTTGTGTTTTTCTTTTGGGTTGATTACTCACAAAGTTTTCTGAATATTAATATTTAGAAATGATGACTTCCAGGCAGTCACTTGGTCTTCTGTCCTTCTTCTCAATGGGTCTTGATTTCATGCTTTTTATCTATGCTAGGATAATTATAAATTGCTTCATTTTCAAAATACAATTTTATGTGTATTCATTTGCTGCCAACAAAATATTGGAGAAACCTCATCATTCTTGTGTTTGTTTAAATCTATAAAGCTCTGTGGGTGTCTGTGTTAGCATGTAATAATGTTTATCTGGTGCTATTCACATTGTCATGAAGACACTGTTAAGTAAGTTTTCTTTAGTTTTGCAGCTCATCTTTATCTTCCTTCCTGAGTCTGAAGAAGTATTCTTTTTAAATCTATTTACATTTCTTTCATGAATTCTTTCAGTTTTAAGACTTTTTTTCATCTTCAGTTTTTTAAAAACCAAGAGGGCTCTGTCCTGATGCAGACAATCTGTGACATAATGAAAATTGGTTTCGCACTCTTAGGACGCTTGGCATCAGTTAAAATAGAGTCGTGTCTGAATTGCTGCTTGTACTTGAGGTTCCAGGCCCAACAAAGGGGAGGAGAGGATGTCAGCCTTCCATTGTACACCAGAGCTATGGGGGGAAGAAAAACCCCAACTTTGTAAGCAGTTCTTTAATTGTTTCTTGTACACCTTCTGGTTTTAATGGGTATCTATCTATCTGTCTGTTCTTGCAGTTAACTCCAGTTGGAACAACCATCTTCACCGGATTTTCTGGAAACAATGGTGCTACTGACATTGATGACGGTCCAAACGGCCAGATAGAATATGTCATCCAGTACAATCCAAATGACAAGGTAAACACGTTTAGCTTTTTTTTTTTTTTTTTTCCCCAGAGATATGTGTGTGTGTGTGTGTATATATATGGTCACACCTTGAAGCAGCAAATGAAGAAGAGGTTGATGTAGGACGTGATAAAGAAATGCTTTCCTTCATGATGTAGAATATCCTCCCTGCCTATGAGCCTTGCTTGCCCTGAATTTACCTTCCCTTTCCTTGCCATGCTGTTAGCAGTTGGATTACTTGAGTATCAATCATTAGTAATTCCCTGCCTCCTTCACGCCCTTCATCTTGGTTTTGGCACATGTTTTCAGTCTGTGATAGTTGCATTTACTCCTGCACATTTATAACTAATGGATTCACAGCTGAGAAATGTTCATAGGCATAGCTAAGTTGCTCTCAGAAGAGATACTCTGGCTTTTCTGATGGAGTCATTTAACATGTCTATTTTTTATAAAGAGGGTTATATGTAGTTAAAATAAAACACTGGTATTCCCTACCCGTTACTTTTGCAAACACATACTTTGAGAGACAAAAAGCTTTCGGTATTAAAATATATTCTCTTCAGGGCCAGATGTGTGAATTTTCTCTATCCTAACAACGTTTTGCACATGGGAAGTGTCTGTATGCGTTTTCGTGGCCAATTCATGGTAATTTTAGCAATGCTGGTTTGCAAACCGGGCTGTCCTTTGCAATGGACTAAGAGCACAGTTGCTGCACATCAGCTGCTGTGATAATTTCTTAAGCAGGCTAACCTGATTTTGTAGTCACCCCAAGGGTGGCGTAAATAGTAGACTTAGTAACCTCAGTGAAATTCCCTACTTGAGGGGAATTTGAGCAGCAGTGGCTTTGTAAGAAAACAGCCATCTGATTTGCAGATTAATTGCAAGTGTGGGCACAGAAGTTCTGATTTGCACCATTTAAGCTGTACACCTCATAAAAGCTTCAGTCCTGTTTCCTTTGAAGTCAACAAGAGTTTAAATATCTACTAAATTACATTTAGTGCTTATACTTTATAGGAGGTAGATTTGCTTTTAGAATAATGACAGTACCAAGGAATAATTCAGTATAAACTAATGATATAAGAGCCTGCTTTTTTACTTTTCACTGAGGTACTTGTTGATTTTTTTGCATAGCGAAATGATGAGGTGTAATATTTTCTTACTATACCTACGTATTTTGAGGACAGAGATGGTTTCTTGAGAAAATTTGCGGCAACTTAAGGAACTATCTTTCCCAACCTTTTCTGGGGAACGTTATTTCGCAAGGAGGCAACTTATTTTTGACGGAGTTGCAATTGTGACGTTAAGTTTTGGTTAAACGGGGGATTTTCTGATTTTATATGTTGTGTATATGTGGAATTATTTAATTTCTTAAATGTTTTCAGCTGGTTATAGAGAATAAATTGGTTGCGCAGACTTGAGCAGTCTCTTGAGTTATGACACTTCAGTGGGACTACTTAAATGAGTAAAATTCTTGCATGTAATGTGTGTGTTTGTCATGTTACATTCTCTTCTGTTCTTTGTACTAGTGGTGTGTATGACTGAAGAGTTTATCTCCTAAACTTTATAAACAAAGGCAAGAGTTTTCTATAGAACTAATGAGTACTATAGTGTAGTGGTAACATCATCTTTTAAGTGTTTGTATGATGGAATTGGTAGCAGAATGGGATTTGTTTATAACACAAATAACTGAGAAGTAAATAGAAGGCAGAAGGGACTGGAAAGAGAAGCGGTTTCAAATTCACATAAAACCAAAACAGAACCCAAGCTTTGAGTTTTTGCCTTCATTCCTTTTTCTTAGCCTTACCTTATAGTACTTAGCTCAAATAATTTCTTCTGTTTTGATAAAGACTCTAAAAAATGTTGGCACTGAGAAAATACCTCTTCCAGAAAATGCTTCCTCCAAATAACTTCAGAAAACTGAAGGCATTAAAAAAAAATTTTAAAAAAGCATGCATTTGATATGTTGGTATACTGAAAACACATAAACAAATCCGACCCCCTTAAAATTCTGTTAAAATATATTGTGCCACAGTGAAATAGAGGAGTTGATTTGTATTTACTCTGAAGTCATAGCATTATATTGCTCAAAGGCAGCCTGGGACATCATCCTAAAAGCATCTCCCACAACCACATTAGCCTCGAGTTCAGTCGAGAGGTTCCTCTCGCCACTAACGGAAGGACTTTCTAGCACGCCTGAGTGGTTTGGTCTGGTGTTCTGCCATGGGATGTGTTAAAAACATTTCCTAAAATGCCTATTTTCCGCTAGCATTCAGAGAAACTTACTTGTTTATGTTCTCCCAGCGACTGTGAAGAACCGTGGGGGATTTCCCTGGTTGCGACAACCTCTTTGGAGTAGTTAGCTGCTTTATTGCTTTTTTGCCTTACTAATTTTGTCTCCCAGATTAAATAAATCTGGTTCTTTCATCTGTAGATGGCTTTTATGTGCGTAATATTGCTTTACCTGGTGATGCGCGTTGTGTGCGTGCTTGATGTTGTAAGCTGCTTCATCTCAGCTGTCAACTTGCCAGAAAGTTACTGCTTAATGTCTGCGACAAGTGGATTTTCTTCCTTAACCTGGGAAATGCTTATACTAGGCTCAAAAATGACACGTCCAGCTTAGTGCAAAATATCTCAACTTTTCTGCTTCTGGCATCCCCCTATACTGCATGATGAAGATGCCCGCCGTGGTGTTTGACGGCCGTGGTGTGATCTCCTGCCTTAGAAAAAGCAGACTGATTATAGCTCAGGAGTTTCACTGAAGACCAATTAAGGCATTTGGAAAAAAAGCCTGTAGAAACAAGAGGTATTAGTTTGAGAATTCAATTTAACAATTATTTTGTTGTTTAATTGGGAAGATATATAAAAGCCAAGTAGAAAAATGAATACAAAACATGCTTGACCTAGGGCTGGGCCCTAGCTATCATGTAAAGGAATGCCAGATCGAGGAATTCTTAGCTTTTGAAAGCTAGGCAGCAAGTCAATTAACTTGACAAAAAGATTCTTGTCTCCTAACGCAGACTGAATTTGTCAGATCTCTGAGGGCTCAAAGATTATTGAAACACATACATTCTCAAAACAAGTTTGGGACTCCCTTGGTCCTAATTTTACTGAAGTTTGTTGCATTGTGTTTGGTGAGGATTCACAATTAAAACCTTTTGATTTTTTCCGTAGTTACGGAATATGCATAATGCTTTTGCTATACTGATTTTTCACATACCAACTCTCTGGGGAGTAAATTCAATTGTTATCTTCCTGGCTTTCCCCATTTTCAGTTGTTTTAAGATATGAAGACTGATGTACAAAAGCATTTTGTTGTCTCTGTTTTGAAGTGGGAGGAGAACTAGATTTGTTCTCTGGGAGTAAGGAGTTGACAAAGCAGTGTCTTGATATTCCTGACTTCCAGCACGTGCTGGCTCATTTTATTATTGGATGGAAACGCAGCTGAGATGTGATGATGTTGTGCTCATCTATTAATTGCCTTAGAGCTTCTTCGCAGTTTGGGTTGCTGCAGAGATAAACGGCGTTTGCAGAGGGATCACAGCTTGATCTGATGTGGTACCTTCAGGAGCTGAGGCACAAGCACACGTCTGGAAGTTAAGATTTAAATCCCCCCTCAACGACTGCATTTCTGTGCTGTGTCAGAGCAAGAGTGGCCCAGAGCTATAGGCAGCTTGGGAAGAGGTCAAAGTTTTTTGCTGAAGTTGTGCAGTTCCTTCCTAACAGTTCAGATTGTACAGTTAAGGATCCACTTAAGCGCATCCTCATGCCCAGATCTGCCAAGGATAAAGTAGTTACTTTGAGAGTGCCTTGGCTGATCCTCAGCTGCAGAGTCTTTTTCAGCTGTTTCTGGCCTTTTAAACTAGAGGCAAATGGTTTAAAGCAGTCAGGACACTCTTCCTTATGAATCACAAGTGGCACGCGTGTGTTTTTCCGTGTGTTTGTATGTGCGCACACACAGCATCATCTCGTACAGCGGTCAGAGGTACTACTCATAATACATATTTGCGTAGTTCACACCCTGCTTGGTTGGTTGTTCAAATGCCACTGAAAGAAAAGGGGGGCAAAAGCAGTGAATCATACTTCCTTCTTCTTTCTTCCAACGCTAAGAGTCTGCTCTGGTTTCCTGTTTTGCCTCAGTATAAATATTGTAATTGATTTAAATTTTTTTTCCAGTGAGAACTACATTTTTTTTAGCCGGTAAGATGAGTGCCAAACTCAGACATAAGCAAACAGTGTCCCCAGTTATTTAGCAGAGCCTATGATGTACTTTCCAGTGCTTTTTTTCCTGCACACCACTAACATCTGCAGCATAGTGAATTTAACCATCATTATCATTTATTTGCTGAAAAACAAACTGCAATTTTAACAGATGTTTCAATAAAAGGGAAAAGGTCTTGTTATTTAAGGAAAGACATATGCTGTCCCTCTGCAGGGTTTTTTGTCGAGAGGTTTTGGAATACTGTATTGCTATGAAACATTCAACGTACTCGAATGTTAACTATATTCCACATTGATAGACTGAAGCATGGAAAAAAATTTTATGTGATTAATTTGATAATAGAACCAGAACTGAATCCGAAGTCAGAAACCTGTGTCTGTGCCTGTAATCCTCCTCCCAAATACATAATTAGTCAAAGTGATTCCTGTAGAGGTGGATGCACTCCACCGGTGCCATCCGGTGCCACGGCTTTGTAATCTGGATCTGTTTAAGTAAATATGTAGGACAAATTGAATTTCACCCAATTTACCCTGAAACCTGAATTTGCGAATGTATGAACACGTGCATAACTGCCACCTGAGTGCGTAGTGTTGATTTTCTCCATGTGTTTATTAATTCATTGCCCTCGTGAAAACCAAAACAAAGAGAAGGTAAGTACAATGATGTGGATTTCTTAACCTCTAATATTTGATATTTTCTACAATAGTGAGGAAAAATAGATGCAGGCAAGAAAACTGTAGAAACCAAAGACCTGAATTTTCTGAACTCACCACTGCAAATTCAGCATGGCCAATCTGTAAGAAGTAGGGTAGTTAGATTTCAATTTGTGATTGGAAGTAATAATGTATATGCAGAAAATCAGAAACAATTTGTTAACTTGCGGTTTATTTATTGTGTCGTTCTTATGGAGTAAATTGGGTGGCGAGAAAACATAGAAAATGTCAAGGTCTCTGATCTAGAAAGCTCATGCAGTTTTGATTATGCCATCCAACTGATCGTCTCGTTGCGACCTCTCTGAAACACGTTTAAACTTCGAACCATGTGCAATTTTATCACACCGTTTTAACTTTTGCAGACTTCCAATAAGACCTTTGATATTCCTCTCACTTTGTCTGGAGCAGTTGTTCTACGGGAAAGACTAAATTATGAAGAAAAGACTCGATATTTCGTCATTGTTCAAGCAAACGTAAGTCTGGATCTCTTAAGGGCTATTTATGCCACTGATTTAGGTGGGGGGTTGGTTTGCAGGTTTAGCATTCTCCGAGGTAAGGAAGAGTCTTGCTGAAATACCAGATCTGGTAATACTTTTCCCCTGATGATCTTATTCCAGTTTTACCTAGGTCATTTGACATATTATTGACATACTAACATTGACATATTATTGCTAGTTAAAAGGCTTGCTCAGTGTGTGTAACAAGACCACCTCTTTGGCACAAGCAACAAGTTGCAAATTTGAAGTACAGTCTGTGCAGAAAAGCGCATTCTAGTGTCACTAAGTGTTCATTTCCTAACAAATCTAGCAACGCTAATTTGATCTCAGATGAAGTTTAATGGATACAATTTAGTTGTATCCTTCAGGTTTGAGAAGCATTTTTCTATGAAGAGGTGATTTTTCTTTCAAGTCATACTGCAAGCGTATAAAGAGGTTTTTACAGAGTGTCTGGCAGTGGATAATGCATCCGGAGAAGAAACGTTTAAACTGTGGTTAATATATCTGTCATCAGATAAGTTTTTTTGGTGCCCTTGAGGGCTGTGAAAGCTTTTTTCCCTTTCTCTCCTTCCGATAATAGCTGAAATGAAAACTTTTCCTCAATTGTTTACTTCGGTTGTGATACTGCCTCATTTGTGGCAAAATGAGAACACTCTGAAGTGACTTTAAATAGCTTTCTCCTGAATTCACACATTTATGTTACTGTCATCTTTCTGATACAGAATTGTAAATGCATCATATGATATATTTTACAATCCACTTTCCTGCCTATTTTGTGGCACATTCAGCATTCTCTCAACAGAAAATGGGCTTGGGAGTGTCTCGCTGCTTTTTGCGCTTGGATATATCTAAAGATGCTTCCTGGCCCTCCCTGGTACAGCTGTTCAAACAAGTCCTTTTACCTGGGTAGCATAACTTGCTGCTCTCCTGAGCAGGAATACAGGAGAGCTCGGAACTGATTTGCCTTGCGGTTTTATTGATAATTCATTCCGCAGATCAGCACTGCGCATTCGCAGCTCTTTCCCCTCGGATGTCAGAGCTGGGGTAGCAGAGCAGGTCGTGCTTTTCCAGAGCGAGGCATGGCGTGCAGCAGGGCGAACACCTCGCGTGAGGAGCGGGAACTGGCTGCTGCAGGAGCGGTGGGAGAAAGCACAACTTGGGATGCACGGTGGCAGTTCTGCAAAGCAGTCTCATCCTAACTTGTCCGTTCCTTTCGATACGCGTCCTTACACAACAAATTGTCACCTTTGCAGTGCTGGATTTGGGGCTAGAGCTGTGCTGATTGCTTCTCTGCCATGAGTATACATAATGGAGCAGCTTGCATGATTGAAATGTCTTGAGAGGCCGCTGGGTATTTTCTCAGCCATACCCAAACGGGAGCTGAGCTCACTCAAATTTTGTGTGCTCACAGACAAGAAACTAGATCTCAGAGAAGGGCTCTAATTAAGCTTTGTAGCTCCGCTTTTTGGGAGTTTGCCTTATGAATCCTTTTTTTTTCCCTTCTTTTTTTTTCATTGTACAGAATGTTGCAGGATGCGTTTTAATTCTCTCTATTGTATGCACTATGCAATCATACTGCTGTTCCACTGATTACATTAGCAGTGGTCGTTTATTGTTCTTGCATCCTGAAAATAGAACATGAAATTAATTATTCTATATCAGTTTTGATCAAGTATTAGTCAAAGGCACATGTTGGAGGAATGTAAAAAAGTTGAAGTGACGTGAAGCCTCCTCCTTGTAGCTGGTATTGCTTTTCATTATTGACCATGAAGAAAGCTGAATTCCAAAATTCCCATGTTCGGTAGCTTCAAATATTTTAAATGTAAAGCAGTTCCAAAAAATTGAGTGGACTGCAAAATAATAATAATTAAAAAAAAAAAGCATCCGATATGATTTAGAGCAATGACCTATTCATCCTACACAGGTGATGATATTAGCATAAATACTTTAAAAATATATGGTTTTTTTCTTTTCTGTCAGTGCTTTCCTAGGAGGGCAAGACTTAGCTAATGGCCCATACTCTCTCCACAAGACTTTTTTTTTTATAAAGAAAAGCTATCACAGCAGATCCTCTGTGAAAATGGAAATATTTTGACTTTTAGAAAAAAAAATATTGGGTGGTCATGCTGTTTTTTCACTGTGGTAACAAAAGGAAGAAAAAAAAGGTCAACTGCTACTAGTGTGTACATTGTTCAGTGTGTAAAAATAATCTGGGTGGTTCCTACAATTGAGGAAAGTGTAGCTTTTTTCTATACCTTCTGGAAAGAAAAAAAGGAAATGATAAAGAAGTTGCAATACTCAATAGTGTCTTGTGTGCCCAAAGATTTAACTAAAGAAATAAAAAGACCTGAAAGGCCAAACCACGATGCATTGAACAGAACCTGGCATGCAGCGTGGAGGCTTTTTCGGGATATGCAGCTGCGTTATTGTTGACAGAACAACTCATTCTCAAGACAGATCAGCTTTGTACATGGAGTAGAGTTTGGAGATCTTAGGTCACTATCATTGCTGTCCTCTGGCTGTTTGTAGGTTTTTTGATAAGGGCAAGGGAGGTGCTAAATCTCTCTCAGATTGCGGTGAGCAGAGGCGGATGGAGCGTTACAGTCTGGGGCCTCTCCAGTGCCAGCTGGAAAAGAGGTTCCAGAGGGACCTGGACAGGCTGGAGAGGATGGACCCATGCCAACCTCATGAAGTTCAACAAGGCCAAGTGCAAGATCTTAATTAATTGCTCAAAACTGGATTATTTCTGAGCGACAGATGTCTCACAGTATTTCTTAAATCAAGAGGTAAACTTTTATGTCCTAATTGTATTTCTGAACCTTTAAGGCTGTAGTTCTGAGGATGAAGTTTCTGTAATGAGCTGTTCCCTAGGACCTGGACAATTGTGGTAAAGCCCTTTGCTTTATTTTTTTTTTTTTGTAGATTCTGAATTCAGCAAGTCTCACCAAGTGTAACTCTTGTTCCACAGGATCGAGCCCAAAATCTTAATGAGCGAAGGACAAGTACAACCACCCTGACAGTAGACGTACTCGACGGTGATGACTTGGGACCAATGTTTCTTCCTTGCGTCTTGGTGAATAATACTCGTGACTGTAGACCTCTCACCTACCAAGCGAGCTTGCCGGAATTGACTGATCCTGTAAGTGTCCTTGATATTTTTGCAAGTTTTATATGTTTGTTTTGCAAGCAGCTGTCATCTTTCTCTGTGGATGCAGTTGAGAACTGTCACTAGAAAGGTCACGTGTGCTTTATGCCACATTTTATGTGCTAAACAAAAGAAAACCAAGGTAAGAGGTATGTAGGACTAGACGATGAAATTCTTGCTTTGATACAGGGGCAAACTGCTCATTCATTACAAAGGGTGAAACACGCTGAAATTTTGAAATTGCTTTTTCTTATCTGTGTTTTGCTCTCAAAATATCCTGAAGAAGCACTTTCGAGAAGGGCCTTGACGTATTATTCCTTTCAGGCTTGTTAAGGAGGAAGCTGTTTGGAAGAGGGAGGGTTTTAGTCACTAGTCCTGGAGAGAATCATTTGCCACTATTAGCTGATTTTGGTCAAGAGGCACTGAAGAGCAATGTGTGCTTATCCCTTGTAAATGCTTATTCCTACGTATGTTGGTTAATAGGTCAGTTAGGATAGGGATAAAGGTCAGTGTAAGGCTCATTTCACATGGGAACATGCACAGTGGGTCCCAAAAGGAGGATGTGAGAGCTTTATCATTTCTTCTCGCAAGATGGTTCTGATTCTCCTTCCTTACAGGAGACCTGCTGTTTGGTGTAATGGAGACAGGCATCTCTGGTGGGCAAAAGAGAAAAATCCGTTTCTTAATTGGTATTGATATGTGACCTTTGATTCATATATTTAAGAGTATAAAAAGGAAGAATCAATTGAATTACTAGGTATTACCCCAACTAATTAACATTGACATTAAGATGACATTAAGATAATGTTAAAAATTGACATTAAGATCATGATTTCCCTTGTCCAGTGCAGGGCACACTCTCTGTGCGCTTCCTCTGGCCAGAAGACAGGGGAGGTTGAGGCTGTAAGTGTGGAGATTCCGACTACTTTGTGCCTTATTTGTCTTATACTGAGCCATGTAGTCTTCTCCCATCTCACGTGTTGTGGTGTCCTGCTTTGTCTGGCCTCGGGGGTCCTGCTGCAGGTATGCTTGAGCTGGGTCACTGAGTACTGCTGCCACCCTGTTCGGTTGATTCACATGATGCTTTTAGTGAATTTCAAAATCTTTTGCAGTTGTTTTATCTGTTTTAGGGCCAGCTGAAATTATGTCTAATACATAGCAGTTGGTAAATTGCTTCTGCACAGGTTGGCAGTATAGGCTCTGATTTAATAACTGGTGCAATCCCAGAGAGGTGAGACAAGGGTTATTGTAATAAAGATTGGTGTGATTAATGTCCCTTGCAATTAAGGGAGAGCTAAAACATGTTCCAGGGAGGAGGTCTAAGTCTGTCTGGACCCCTTGACAGACTTCTGGGGGAAGATTGGGCCTTCCGGCAGATTCATTAGTGGAGATTCTCTAACTGCAGCCTGACTTGTAAGATGAGGCAAGACTGGAGCCTTGATATTCAGCTTGGAACAAACAAATTGGTTGGGAAAGGGATATGTATTAATTTACACATCTCTTCCCTGCACACACCCACTACTGCCCCCCCTCCCCGGGTATTTGGTAACTCTTTGTAACTGTGTTGTCTGATTTGGGCTTAGTGAATAAATGCTTTTACTTTAAATTTGATGTTAATTTGGTTTGGACTTTTAGGGAAACCGAGTGGCCGCAAGTTACTCTCCAGCCGACTATATCTCATCAGAGTTAGTAGGGCACCCGAACTGTGCAGGATGACAGAGTAGGACTCCATTTTATCTGCTCAAGTCTGAGAGGATTCCCAGTACAGAGATAAGCGAGGTGAAAATTATTAATAACCTGTGTTTGGTCATTACCTTTTTTTTTTTAATCTGGTTATCTTAAGGCATAATGCAAATCATACATTTCTCCTGATACAGCTCTCAGAGATGGCTTCTATTAGAAATTTTGTGACCAGCAGAAGTAGGGAGGTGATTGTCCCTCTCTACTCAGCACTGGTGAGGCCGCACCTTGAGTATTGTGTTCAGTTTTGGGCACCTCAGTATAGGAGAGATATCGAGGTGTTGGAGCGAGTGCAGAAGAGGGCAACAAAGCTGGTGAAGGGCCTGGAGAACAGACCTTACGAGGAGTGATTGAGGGAGCTGGGTCTGTTCAGTTTGACGAAGAGGAGGCTGAGGGGGGGACCTCATCATGCTCTACAAATACTTGAAAGGACATTGTAGAGAGGTTGGTGCTGGTCTCTTCTCACAGGTAATTAGGGACAGAACCAGGGGGAATGGTTGCAAGTTGCAACAGGGCAGGTTTGCGCTGGACATTAGGAAGAAATTCTTCACAGAAAGAGTGGTCAGACCCTGGAACAGACTGCCCAGGGAGGTGGTTGAGTCGCCATCCCTGGATGTGTTCAAGTGTCCCTTAGATGTGGTGTTGGGTGATGTGGTTTAGGGGTGACCTTGTAGTGTAGGGTTAATGGTTGGACTCAATGATCCCAAGGGTCTTTTCCAACCTGAACTGTTCTATCATTCTCTAAAAGGAATCCATCTCTGGCCCCGTTCCTGCCCTTGGTCAGGCTCATACGCTGCACTGGAAGACAGAGTGGTATCTGCCAAGGAGGGTGTCTGGGCTAGGAAAAATCTGACTGGTGATGTAGGTGCTAAGTTTCAGAGTGGTATTCATTTAACTTCATAAGCTACAGTCTGTTCAAGTGTCAGCTTTTTTTGTTTGCTTTTTGTCTTTTTTGTGTCAAACTGCACCTTGAGAAATCTGATCTATGAAATGAGAAACCATTTCTGTTGATCAACTACCGACTTGCTGCTGTTTATCTTTTTGTAGTACGGTAGCAGTTTTGATAAATGTAAGTGGAGGAATGATGCTTGAACTCAAAGTTTTACCTTGATACCTCAGATATTTACTTCTAAATGACAATTCCTTTAGAAGATATGGATGGTACCTAAGAAGATTCAGCCTGGTAAACACACGTATTACATTTGTCCTGCGAGCAGCGGTGTGATAAAGGGCAGAGAAGCCTGAGCTGTCTGGACTAGCCAGGGAGTTGGCAGCAGACTCATGCGATGTTCTGATCTGGCAAAGCAGCCTGCACAGAGGACTTTGCTCAGAGACAGACCAGAGATTTCTGCGTGATGGAAAACCAGTGGATTGCACTGTGTAGACAAGACCCATCTGAGTCCGTAATGCTCCAAGGGTTTAACTACAGTGTCAGGTTATACGGAGGCTGATAGTCACCAGTGTACTTCTCAGAACAGTTTATCTGAAGGTACTTGCACCAGTTTGGTTTTTTCCAAAGATTAAAATTTACTGTGCTGTAGGTGTTGAACCTCCAATGTGTGTAGCAAATAGGACAAGTTTCTGTTTGTTGAGTTTTTTATGGTACCTACTACATAGACTAAAGGACTATTTTTAATCTAATGTCAACCTTTTTTAATCTGCCATTTAATTTTGCAATGAACATGAGAAGTCGTATTGATCAATCTAGAACAAACTTGAAGTATGAATTACTCGGAAGCAGTACCTTGAAAAAGAAGTCCTGCTTTAACAGGGCAAGATTTCTGCTTAGCAGACCCCTTAAATAAAACATTTAATGCAACTTGTAAGAATAACATTTTTATTCAATCTCGCGCAATTACCAGTCTTTAGTTGACATCTATCTGTTGATGTTCATGGAGGTGAAGATCGTAGTTCCTTTCCAAGCTTCTTTCCTTTGGCTGCTCTAAGCAGTTGGATACGCTGGCAATGAAGGATCCGTGCAGCATTTTCTTTGTTTATGGTCTTTGGTGGGTGGAGATAGAAGAGGCCAGCAAAATTAATGGATCTCTTACTAGAGAAGCAATATATTTTCCTGAAAAACACTATCAAATTTTACACTGTGGCTTCTGAGAGTTGGTCTGACTTGTGGTAGTGCTAAACATTGTTAACTCTGCTCTGGGCTGGGCAGAGTGCTATATAATTACAGGTTTATGCACTTGTAAAACCTGGTGTGCGTTTCTGAAATCTGCACAGTGGAAATCGTCCCAAAGCTGCAGCTCTTCCAAGCAGAGCCAAAGATGATCTGATAGTCCTCTCTGGGAGTGCCTATAGAGTGAAATGTTGCGACAGTACCTTCTCAGACTGCCGGGTGCTGCCTGTAACCAACGGAGCTTTGCCCCAAGGTGCAGCCTTCATCGTTGGTGGTTGCTGAGTTTTGTGAGCGTCGCTTCTGCAGTGCCACCAGTGAGCTACTGTAATTAATTGCTGTGACAGCCTTCTTAGGTCTACGATCCCCCAAGGGTCAGTTAAACATCAGTGTCTCCGGTATTGAATGCTTGTGTCTCTGATACTGAATGCTTGTGGGATGCTCTTGCCTCTTAAGTAGAGGAGGCAGAAACTCGTAGTTCAGTGTTAACAAACTTGGATGTTTTTCTAGTACGTTAGCTCTTCTGAATGCTTAATCCTGTGGTGAGTGGTGAGAGCTGAACTGCTTTGCTGCTGCGGAAGCCCAGACAAAGCTAAATTAACAGCCTATAATCCGCACGCTCAGATTATGCTTCCCTGAGCAGTAATTTGCTTGCGAAGTGCTGCCAGATGAGTCTGATTCAGTGCCCGTGACAGCAATGGAATAAACTGTTTTACATGTCCCCATACCAGGAGGGAAAAATAAATAAATATACTGAGTTCTGAGTCCTCGAATAATGACTGCAAAAATTACCGTGCAAAAAAGACACCAAAGGGCACTGTACGACAGTATTCAAAGTCATTGAGGTTCTGTCTCGTAGTACTTGCACAAAGCCTTGGACTTTTATTTCCTTTAGGGGAATGCATAGTACAGCTTCGGTGATGTCTTACAATGAGCTAGCAGAGACCTTTCAGCATTCAAGTTCCATAAGTCAAATATACTGCCTTATAGTAAAAGGCTAAGTAGTGTCTTTGCTAGATGCAGAGATACATGTATGAACCTCTTATGTCTGCAACTTGGTCCACATACTTCTGGGAGTAGTTCCTAGCTGTCATAATCCTGCTGTCTCTCTGGGAATGAGTTTGCTGTCTGTAGCTAAATTTCAGTTGCC